TATCTGGGCTGTAAGGGTTGAGGGTGAAACCCCAGACGCTCTCTGGCAAGCCAGCCTCAATCAAGTCAACTCCCCGTCCTTGTCGAGCAGCCTGAGGACCCCTGCTCTGTGCATAGGAGCAGGGGTTGCAGACGGAGCCCTGGCCAGGAGGTACCATAGCCCTGTGAGGTGCGATGTGAGCAACGACCCTTTGGTCTGAAGAAGGGTCCGTACACATCCACCATTATGATAGGTCTGGCGTCACAGCAGGTCGACCTATTAATTCAGGAACTCACTGTCGACATCTTCCTCCCTCCATCTCGTGGGAGCTCTACAGACGGGGCAGGGTACCCACAGACTGCCAGATGACTCATCGTGAGATGTCTCCGTGGACCCAGAAGGCCTTAAGGAATAGGCTGCCTGGAAATAGATGACGTCCTTACAGATATCCTGGCAAATGCTCGCTGACCCATGACGTGACGATCCTCTGTCTGAGTAGATTTGGCCATCCTTCGAACTATTCTGCCCCATGAACAGAAATGTTAATAGCAAATGGCCAGGAGACAACAGGTGGTGGGGATTGGGCAAACGCAAGCTACACTTGGTGATGTGGACGACTCACTGTGGAAGGAACGCGTTATCCCTTACTCAATGGGACCCCTTACTGGACTGCTCAGATGATCACTTGTCATTGGTTGCACATTGTAGCTCCTATTTCTCAGAACTAGAGTGTGCCTACACCTTCTATGGTTGTCTGCTGTCTAAGAAATCCCCGTGAAGGTTGATGGAAAACAGGGCAGTGAACATTGCACCTTTGTTCTCTTGTGGCAAGATGTTTGGGCACAAGCCAGTGTCAGGACAAGACTATCACCTACCTGAGATCCTACAGGGATGCACCAAGCCTTCACAACCCCCAAACCAATACACTACAGGTATAGGGGCAACATGCAACACACAGACACTACAGACTCCCCAATCTACAGACACATAGACATTGAATATACTCCAACTGAACATCTCATCAATACAGAACAAGAAAATGGAGCTTGCAAAGATGCTGTCAGACTTAACAATTCATGTAGCCCTGCTACAGGAAACCCAACTACCCAAGGGGATAGAGCTCCATTTAACAGGCTACACAATGTGCCACTACAAGTGCACCAAATGTCAAGGTATCGCTACCCTCATTCGGAATGACATCACTACTGAGGTTTCTCACCCAGAAACCGATGACGAGACTGACATGCAGGAAGTGAATGTGTAGCAGTCGGATGGAACTACCTACACCATCTACAATGTATACTGCCCACTGAGATCTACTCTCCAGCTCAACTTCCCAAACACAGACCACCAACATACCATTCTTGTGGGAGATTTCAATGGACACTCTCCACTGCGGGGTTACAGTGATACAGACTCGACAGGAACAGTTCTAGAAGAACTACTGAGATCAAGCAACCTCATTTCACTTCAGAATGACAAAATACCTCCCACCCTACTTCATAGAGCCAGCGGAACTCTCAGCAGACCAGACTTGACCTTGGTCTCTGCTACCTGACTGCCAAGGTAAAGCCGAAGAGCAAAAGTGCGAAAAGACAAACATGGAGAGAACACTGTGGAGAACTGGACCTGCGTAAGGACGGGAAGACAGCTGGGAACCTACTTTCCAATCTCTCAGGTACAAAAAGAAGGAAAAAACCCGTCTCAATGAAACCAACTGAGAAAGGAGAAACATGCAGAGCTGAGGTAATGAATAAATACTTTGCCAGCATCAACAGGAAGGAAACCAGAACAAACTGAGACACACAATAAAGCAGCTGACCAAAAGGGCAGAACAGACCCCCATGGCAAACCTGGAGGTGTTTCAGAGGGAGTTTACTCTGACGGAATTGAAGGCAGCTCTCAAAAAGTTTAAAAAGAGAAAGGCCTCAGGACCAGACCACATCACCAATGAGATCATCCTCAACCTGACAGACTCTTCCCTCTCTATAATCCTGGACTTCTTCAACAGGACTTGGAATGAGGGACAGCTCCCAACAGAATGGAAGAAAGCAAACATCACACCGATACTGAAGAAGGACAAACCAGCAAGCCAGCCTTCAAGCTATAGACCAATCTCTTTAACATCATGCCTGGGTAAGGTCGTCGAGAGAATGGTCAACGACAGAGAGTACTGGTGGATGGAAAACACCGGAGCAATCAAAACATCACAAGCAGGATCCAGGAAAAGCAAAAGAACTATGGACTACCTCATCAGATTTGCCCAGAAGACCAGCGATGCCTTTCAAGGTAAAGACAATGTTGTGGCTGTCTTCATCGACCTGAGGCAGACGGGACCGTGTGTGGAGACAGGGATTGTTCTACAAAATGCAAAAGCTTGGGATAGCAGGAAGGATGTACAGCTGGATCAAGAACTTTCTGTTTTGCAGAACTATCCAGACGTCATGTGACAGCAAGATTTCTTCACAGAGGACACTTGAGGAAGGCCTCCCACAAGGGTCAGAACTCAGCTGTACCCTCTTCCTGTTGTTCATGAACGACTTGCCAGATGTCATCTCCTGCCAGAAAGCACTCTACGCTGACGACTTACTCATTTAGAACAAAGGAAGTGACTTGAGAGCACTGAACCAAGCAATCAACGCAGACGTGACTACTATCTCGTCCTACTGCCAGCTATGGAAGATGGAAATAAACTCAGACAAGACTGTTTTTGGACTCTTCAGCCTCAAAAACAAAGATACAGCAAGTCAGATAAACCTTAAGATCAATGGAACTACCATCAGACATGAGGACTATCCCAAGTACCTTGGTGTACAACTGGAACGAACGCTGTTTCTCAAAGAGCACTTAAGGGAGTTGACCAAGAAAGCCACCTCCAGACTGAACCCCCTGAACACCTTTCATCACTCAACTGGGAAGCTGACAAAGCAACCCTTAAGACAACTTCATATAGGGTATGTCAGATCTGTGATTGACTACTCCCTACCACTACAATCCATAGTCAGCCAAAGCTCCCTGGCGCAGCTTGACAGAGTACAGAACCAAGCACTCAGATTTGTTTCTGGCTCGATGAAGACCACGCCTACAAGCGCCTGCGAAATCCACACCAACATAAAACCACTGGACCTCAGAAGAAAGAGTGCTACACTCGAAACCTATGAAAGATTTGTGCGGCTAGAAGACACGAACGAAAACAGGAAATGTCAGATGAGTGGGAACCAAGAACACGCATCCAGAAGACCTCCTTCATGCGAGAAACAACAAAACTACTTGAGGAGTTTGACCCACCCGAGAACAGAGAACCAATCACCAACATCAGCAGCGAACCTCCATATTGGCAGACACCAGAAATCACAATAAGGACGAGACTTCTAGACCCTTCTTGTGACAAGACCACACCAGAAGAAATCCTCAGAACTAGTGCCCTGGAGACAGTGGACTCGTATGCTGAAACTCCAATGCATGCATACACAGATGGGTCTGCAACGAACGCTACACGGAATGCTGGATACGGATCTACCATCAAATATCGAAACAACCTTGGAGAGAAGAAGTAGGCCCAACTATTTGACCCATGTGGAACATACAGCTCTAACTATGACGCAGAGAAAATCGCCATAGTAAAAACCCTGGAGCAGATCACCCAAGACTTTTTTGAAAGCGCAGTAACACCAGGGGATGTTGTTGTCTTCTCTGACTCAATGTCAGTACTCCAAGCCGTCGAGGGAGGAGGAGACTACAGAGGTGACGGGAACATTCTCAGCCTTGTAAAACAGATGGGCTCTTCCTATGGCGTCCGGGTCCCACTGCAGTGGGTGCCTGGCCATTCTGGAGTACCAGGGAGTGAGACTGCAGACCATCTATCAAAGACCGGAGCGAGCCTGCCCCAGACAGATACAGCCGCCTCTTTACAGACCTGCAGAGGGATCATCCGCGCCAAAAGCAGAGACGAGTGGCTAAACAGATGGGCCAACGCAACAACAGGAAGACCTCTCTTCGGGTACATGGACAAACCCAACCCGAAAGACCCTTCGAATCTTTTATGTAGAGCTGATCAGACATTGATCTTCAGAGCCCGCACAGGACACTTACACACCAATAAGCACATAAACAGAATCAACCTCATATGGGAACCCCATTGCAGACACTGTGACTACCACGAGGAGACCGTTGAACATCTTCTCCTTCACTGCCCAAACCTGGCAGTTCTTCGACGCAAGCTCCTACACACACGTACAGATTTACAAAGCCTGCTCTACTCTGGCGTTGACCAGATGACAAGGACAAGTGGTTACTTGAGGGCGGCATTGCGCTGCCAAGAACGAAATTCTCGCAGCTAAAGGGATTTGAAAACAAACATATATCTCTCTCGCGGCGTCTATGGTGTAGCGGTACTCCGTTGAAGATCTGGATTCAGTTCCCTAAGGAGAAACTTTTACCAAGTTTCTAGGTCTTTCTCTAGACGTTTCAGCACCCTCCAACCGGGTTGGCTCTGATTGGCAGGATGGAAGCTTACCTCATAAATGATCTTAACTGTTTCTATGGGGGAAGAATAAACAACTGTGTGAACAAAATAAACATGATCTTCTCCCTCCGCCCCTCATCCCCCCCCCCTTTTTCCCAAAAAAGTACTTTTAATTACTGTGTTCATGTTAGTATGAACTGAAATAAAAGGGGTGGGGAGGTGTGGATTAAACCGGGAAGGGGGGGATTAATAATATTTTGGGGTTTTTGGAAACCTTAACCCCCCTCCCCCCCCCCCCCCCCCCCCCCAATGATTTTAGAAATAGCTATCATCTTGCCTTACATTTAAGTGGATTCCAATCTTAGCGTTCATCCCGAAAATAATTCTTAGTCCTAAAACAAAGTATAACAATAGCATCGTATTATGCGACGAATCACTTTATCCCAATCGTTTCTGAAAGCAGATCCTGCCGAAATGGAGAACGCTTCTGAGCCGACAGAAGACTTCGCTTGGGAGGTACCGGAACCGCGTCCACGACTAAACAGGGCAGGCCGAGTAAGAAGAATGCGTAGACGAAGTAGGCGAGGAGGAGTGGGAGAAGAGGCGTTCAGAGGAGGAGCGGTCAGAGGAGGCCCAAGGGACAGGACAGAAGCCTACGAGGAAGAAGGAGGGGAGGATTCTGGGAGGCCGGTACTTCGAGGGCAGAGAAGAGGGGAACCTTATAGGGTGAGAGGACGGTTCTTCCGCGGGCCCAGGAGGGCGTACCCGAGAAGAGACCCTGATGGCCGAACTCAGAGAGGACTGTGGAGGGGCCCACGGCTCTCACAGACACAGCTGGAGCCTACGCAGCCAATGATCAAGGAGTTCGGACATAAGTTCGACTATTACGTGAAAGACGACGAGTCTTTCTCCAGGTGAGTAGTTGGATACGGAGATGTATGAGTATGTACGTCGTGTGTTTCTGTGTGTGTGAGAGAGAGTTTGTGTGTCCGTGTGTGTGTGTGTGTGTGTGTGTGTGTGTGTGTGTGTGTGTGTGTGTGTGTGTGTGTATGTGATGGTTTATGTGTGTTGGAGAGAGTTTGTGTGTATGTATATGCATGTGTGTGTGTGTGTGTGTGTGTGTGTGTTTGTATGTGTGTGAAGATGTGAATGTGTGTGTATGTGACAGAAAGAGAGAGAGAGAGTGCGTATATGTGTGTATGTGTTTGTGTGAGTGTGAGTGTGTATGTATGTCTTAGTATGGGACTGTGTGTGTTTGTGTCTGAGAGAATGTGAGTTTGTGTTTGTATTTGAAAGAAAGGGTGTGTTTGTCTGTGAGAGAGAGAGAGAGAGAGAGAGAGAGAGAGAGAGAGAGAGAGAGAGAGAGAGAGAGAGAACGTGAGCGTGAGAGAGAGTGTGTGTATGTGTGTGTGTGTGTGTGTGTGTGTGTGTGTGTGTGTGTGTGTGTGTGTGTGTGAACGTACGTTATTATGCCCGTGTACAACATCAGAGAATCCCAGCTGGTTGTTTGATTTCTCAATAATTTCTTCTGGAAGTAAAAGCTAAATCCTTAACATGTCATACCAGTGAATTAATAAAAGCTATAATAATAGGCCTAATGTGATAATTTTTCAGATTTGTTCAATATCGTTAAAACACGGAGCAGGAAATACACCCAGAAGAAAATATAACTTTTGACTTTACAAGAATCTAAAACGTTTTCAAGCGACAAAGAAAGAGTGGGAGGGAGGGACAAAGAAAGAAAATGAGAAAGAGGGGAAAAGAGAGGAAGAGGGGAAAAGAGAGGAAGACGGAAAAAGTGAGGAAGAGAGAGAGAG